GCCGCGGCCGGAGGTGTGAAAGAACAGAGGAACGGCTGCAGAGTACCGGACACGGTTTTGTTTTTTTTTTTGACTCCTCTTGATAGAGGGATTTAAGTAGCTGCCCTGCTGAGGTGTCTCAGGCCGCCACGGAACGAAATGCCCGCATAGCGTTTTATTAATCGTACGTCTTTTCCTGACTTTCTTTGTAGTTCATCTGAAACTGGAAGAAAGAGGAGAATGGATATGGGCAACCAACATCCATCCATAAAACGGTTGCATGAAATACAGAAAGAAGTCAAAGAGATCGAACAACAAGTTGTCATCTTCAGTGGCTTGTCTACTGACAAAGATTATAAGAGACTAGAAAGGACTCTTACTAAACAGCTTTTTGAAATAGATTCCGTAGATACTGAAGGAAAAGGAGATATTCAGCAAGCCAGAAAGCGTGCGGCTCAGGAAACGGAGAGGCTACTCAAGGAACTGGAACAAAATGCAAACCATCCCCACAGACTGGAAATAGAGGCTATATTCAAGGAAGCACAGTTGCTTGTGGAACGTGAGATTACACCTTTTTACAAAGGAGGCAACTGTATAAGTGATGAATTTGAAGAAGGTATTCAGGACGTTATATTGAGGCTTACTCAGGTGAAAACTGGAGGGAAAATTTCTTTACGCAAAGCAAGATATCGCACTCTGACGAAAGTATGCGCTGTTCAGGAGATTATAGAAAGCTGTGTAAAGCAACAGCTGTCCCTACCACTCTCTAATGATGCACATCCTTCTGTCTCCAAAATTAACTCTGTAATGTGTGATGTGAACAAAGCTAGAGGAACTCTTATTGCACTTCTAATGGGAGTTAATAGCAATGATACCTGCAGGCATTTATCCTGCGTGCTCACAGGCTTGATTGCTGATTTGGATGCTTTAGATGTCTGTGGTCGCACAGAAATAAGGAACTACAGAAAGGAAGTAGTCGAAGAGATCAATAAACTGCAGAAATATCTGGACTTGGAGGAGGAAGCAAATTCTACTCATGCTTATGACCTGGCACAAAATCAGTCCATTCTAAAAATAGAAGAAATCCGCAAGAAAATGAAGGAAGTTAATTCTTTACTTTTAAAAACAGAGAATGCTTCTGACTTGTATTTGGGATCCAAGGCAGAACTGCAAGGATTAATTGCCCAATTAGATGAAGTCAGTCCAGGGAAAAACCCCTGTATTAGAGAAGCCAGGAGAAGAGCAGTAATAGAAGTGCAAACTCTGATAACGTATATTGATTTAAAGGAAGCGCTTGAAAAAAGGCAAATGTATCCTGAGCAAACTGCTGCTGAACATCAATCTC